GAAGACCAGCTAGATTTGCTGTTTGGATGTAGATTATATGAACAGGGATGGGGAGGCGACTTCCATGTGTGAAGTGTGCTCTCTATATACAAGCTTTCCGATGTGCGACAGTCTACACGGCGACTTCCATGAGCGATGTGTGCTGTGTCTATACATATAGGTTCTGTAGCTTTGCCTCCTGCCGAAAGTAATGATGCATCCGAGTGTCATGTGCATGTATACAGGCACTTGCAGGGCTCATGAGCTCGCAGGCCTGCATGCATTTGAGTGCAGTGTTGTCTTCTCATGCATGCGAGCTTATTGCGATTTCTTGCATGCCAGCTGTTGGGCCGTCGGGCGAATAGATCTTCATGTATAATAGCCCTTTGCTGTCGAGCTTAAGCTTTTTGGTGTAGCCTTTTGCCGTTTGCCGTGATCATGGGCCCTTATCGCAGAGAGATGGATCCGAACGTGTATGTGCCGGTGAAAGTGATCCGCGATGGTGTCCCCGAAATGAATACCATGGCATGTGGATGGGCCAGTATCTCAGACCTCGTCAACAGGGCGGCAGAGACGTGTCAGAACGAGCAGGGGCTGTATGATTGCTTCCATGCGGTTGAGATGACCATCTCTTTGAAGAAGATAGGAGTGCGGACCGAGTATGGGATCTGCATGGAAGATCTTGCTTTCCTGAACATGACACGTGTTCTCAAGAAAATGAAAAGGGGACGTTTTGCAAGGTCCTTCCGAAAGTCAAGAAAACAGCGAGGCAGCCGAAAGTAATGCTGCATTGCAAGCTGCGGTCTCCAGCCTGCCTAAGCTGGGCCTTGAAGTTTTCTCGACTTGTTCAGCTGCCAAAACAATCCGGTGCATAGAAAGACAGATTGGATTGCAGTTTGTGCATGTTGTGCAGCTCCTGCATGAGTGCTTGTAAAGTCCTGGTCCAACTGTATCAGCTTGCACATAGGCTTCGACGATAGGCTGCTATGGCCTTCACTTTGCAGCGACGACTGCGGGTGTCGAAGGGCGAGCTGGGCTGGGTCCCCCCCGACGAGGTATTGGTCGACGGGAAACTGTATGTGAAGTTCTACAAGTGGGATTCTTATCTGGTCCACATCATGACTGGAAAGCAACTATATCTTAACAAAGCGAAAAGTGCTTCCAGTGGCTCTCTCGATTGTGAGCTATGGGACGACTTGGTCAAGTCTCGCCAAGAGGCTGCAAATGCCTTACTGACCCAAGCCAAGAATGTCGATGAGGGGGCTGAACCACAACCCAAGAAGAAACCCAAGATTCAGCGAGAAACCAGCAAGTCCATGCTTCTTCTGCCGGAGACCGTGGAGGTGACATGTCGGGGCTACCAGCTTCGGATGTTGCTGCGAGGACTCGGCACCCAAGTCCTCTGGCTCGAAGCGACAATCGAGAACCTGGAATGGTTCTACGAGAAGGTTCAGTCCTCTGCTGTGAAGCCGAGGAAGGAAAAGAGCATGGGGAAGAAGCAGAACAGGAAGGAGGAAGAAGATGATGAAGCCTCGCAGGAGGGGTGTGAGGACGAGATCCCAGAGTGAGTGCCGGCATAGTATAGATTCCCATCACAGTCAGTTTCCGGAGGCACCTATCGTCGGAGCGAATTTTGCAGAGCAGCACGACATGTGAACACATTGCTATACATACTCCTCCTCGCGAGCTTGCAGCCCTGCGATGCACTTGGAGTTGCACACACCCACACATATAATATATATGTGGGGTGGGGTGGGGTGGGGTGGGGTGGGGTGGGGTGGGGTGGGGTGGGGTGGGGTGGGGTGGGGTGGGGTGGGGGGGGGGGTGGGGGGGGGGGGGG